GGCTTGAAGCAGGGACAAGACGACCACCAGGTCCTTGATGCTAGTACATCTCACCAAAATAGTAATCCTAGCTCTCGTTTTCAAGGGCCTACTCTGCACAGGCTCTGCATCGGAAGCTGCCAAATCCTATTTCTCTTGGCGGTCCCACTGGGTAGGCTATCGGCAGCCACACATTCTAGATGAGAAAACAGAAGCTCGGAAAAAACGTGCAACTTCCCCAGGATCATCCAGCTGCCGAATTGCAGGGAGGACCTGGAACCCAAGTCTGGCTGATTCCACACCGTTACTCCTTCCTCTGCTCCTCATTCACACACTCCCTTCCACGTTCTCAGATTACTCCAGGTGTGTTCACTGCACGGCCCCACTAACTTCTCCGTACCTCGATGGCAGACTTGTCCTCACCCGCTCTGAAATGTCCCACTGTCCTGGGCACGTGAGGAAGCCCTCATTAAATACACCCACTTTATTGCGAGATTGAAAGGAAACAGGTGCCAACCCCAGTAGAGGCTGCGTCTTTATCCTGGGAATCTTCAGCCACAGCATGGTGACGAGTGGTAGCTATGGAGAGCAGTGAGAGCCGCCATCAGGGCTGTGGAATGGGTGCCCAGGGCACCCAGCCCACACGTTCCCACCCCCTGGAGCCGCCAGCCAGGGGGTGCTGCTGCGTGGCGGGGAGACCAACCTTTTAAATTCATCCACCTAGAGAGGGGCCTTTTCCTAATAGGCACAGATGTGCCTAGACCAGCCATGGCTCTCGCTGCGTGTACTGTGCACCTACTATATGCCAGGCTTAGGGCTAAAGGCTTAACTACATCATGTCACCTTACTGAATCCTCTCATCCATAAAGAACTCCTTTGGGCCCCAGAAAGAATTCTATGAGGCCCCAGTGAGAACCCAGAGATTTAGAGGAAATGAGACCACACGGCTGTCAAGGGGTGGGATGGATCGGGGAGCCTAGCAGTCCGGTCCCAGGGCGCAGTCTTGACCTCGGCACACTGGACAAGGCTTTCCACTCCTTACAGAACACGGGAGCTCTGAAGCTGGAATCTGGGGGGCCTGATAGACACAGGTTTCTGCCTCCATCCCCACTTCCCAACCTCTCCCCAAGCCTCAGTTGGTTTCCATAGCTTTATGGAGACAGAACTCACATATCATACAATTCACGCATTCAAAAATGCATAACCCAGGGGTTTCTAGCGTATTCACAGAGTTGTGCAACCATAATTACAATCAATTTTAGAACACTTTCATCACCCCAAAAAGAAACCCCGGCCCCATAAGCAGCCTCTCCTCATTTACTTCCAACCCACTCCGGCCCTAGGCAACCACTCATTTATTTCCTGTCTCTATGGATTTGCCTACGTGGGGATATTTCAGAGAAATGAAATCATCCAACATCTGATCTGTGACTGGCTTCTTTCACTCAGCATACTGCTTTCAAGGTTCACCCCTATTGCAGCATGTAGCAGTACTTCATTTCTTTTTATTCCTGAGTAATATTCCATAAATAAAATTATGGAATTGATCATAAATGTTATCCTCTAAAAGGAATGAACCCACCACACTCTGTCTGTCCACTCATCAGTTGATGGACATTTGGCTTGCTTCTACTTTGGGGCTCTTAGGAATAATTCTGCTACAAACATTTGTGTGCAAGTTTCTGTGTGACATGTGTTTGCATTCCTCCTGGGTAGACCTAGGCGGGGACTTGCCCAGCCCCAGTTTAACATGCAGTTAAAAGTTTACCAAAGAGCCTCGCCGTGAAATCAACATCTGGCTACTCCTGGGCTGTTTCCAGAGAATTTTATCGATACAGCCAGACTCGACTCACGGGTAGGTCATCTGGCCTACCTCCCCCTATGCCGGGGCCTGGGATCTTCTCATTCCTGGGCTGTATAGTGTTGTCTGGGCCAGCGGGATGATAAATGCATTCTGCTTTAAAGCAGATACTTCACAAATCATAACTTACAGATGCTCCAGGACTTTCATGTGGGAAAGACAAATGAGACTTAGGCTGTCTGACTCTGGAGCCACTGAGGACAGGAAGCCATGGCCAGGAAGTCTCTCTCCCCCTAAGGAGTGCAGGAGTAAATGGAACAGAAAGGGAATTCGTGCAGGGAAAGGTCTGCCTGTCTTTGCAGACTCAGCTACGTAACCCGCCATTCATTTCCAGCCGTTGTTTTTTCTTGCCCACAAGTCTCAAAGCTCCTTGAGGTCAGGGATGGTGACCCACAGCCTCTATGCCTCCTAAATAGTCTCTCACTCAAGGTATTCCTTTCCGTTCCATCCCACAAGCCTTTGCTCAGGACCTACTATGTGCCTGGCACTCTGCTAGGCACCGAAAGTAGGTCCAAGACAGTTAGACGGGGCATCACAGTGGACAAGATACCTCAATTCATTCCTTATGTCCTGCAGCTTCGCAGGAGGAAGTGAGACCACGTCCTGGAGTGGGGTGGGTGCATATCTGTCTGCAGGCAGGAAAGTAAACCTGCTCACCTCTCGAGGCCCCCCAGGGATTCCAGAATCTGAGGCTGCTTAAGGAACAAAGAACTCAGTGTGTGTCCAGGTGGAGAGCTCCCTGACCTGCTTCATTAAAACATGCTCCTGGCCGAGGAGCAGACATCTCTCTCCCACAACTCTGTTCGATCCTTATCTTCTCATACCACAACTCTTGTGAAAACCTCCCAGCAGGCCTCCCCGCTCCAAGCCAGCACCCAAGACTGATGGGCTCAGAGCCTCACTGTAATCAGAACCCAGCTCAGCCCACCCAGAGGACGGGAGATGGTCAAGGTCTCTGCATTCATGCTGCCGGGGTCCAAACCCTGGCTCTGCTGCTGCATGTGACCTTGGCAGGCTAGTGAACCTCTCTGTGACTCAGTCTCTTCATCCAGAAAATGATATGATTACAGGTTTGTTACGAGAATTAAATTAGTTTAATGTACCTCGCATGTTATAAGCACTCAAGAAAATTAGCTGCTATTATTATTATTATCGCTATTAAATATTATTATTATTGCCCTTATCCCATCTGACCAACCTTGCCTCCCACTGCATCCCGGCATAAGCCCTACATCCAAGCAGTCTGGCCCACTCACCCTGGACTCTGCCCTCTGCCTGAAAGGCTCCATGTTTCAGTCTCAGGAAACCCAAATCAGGGGCCATCTTCAACAGCCCTTGCCCTCCCTAATCCTGCAGTATGCCACGTCCCCTTCTCTAGCCCCTTCCTGAACAACGCAAAAGCCCCAGGAGAAGAATCACCCATAGCTAGTCTTCTGGCACAAGAGCGAAATTCCACGCCCAAATCCCGAGGTCACCCGCTGTGCATCGTAAAGAAAGTTCTCCCTTTCTCTAGCGGCGATGGGTCTCAAGCTAGGTAAGACTTGTTTGAAACTGTCTAGCTGTTTGACCCTGAGCAAGTTACTTAACCTCCCCAAGCATTGTTTTCCCCATCTGTTAAATGGGTCCAACGAGAGTGCACACCTCTTAGGGCTGTAGTGAGGATTAAGTGAGAAAATGTGTCTGTCAAGCACTTAGCACAGCGTGACACACCCCGAAACTCTCAAAAATATCAGCTGGTAGTAATAATAGCAGCGGCGGCCATACAGGGAGAGGTGCTCCTATCCAGGACTGAGCTCAGTTTAATGAACTGAGCTTCAATGAGCTACATTCCAACTTGAAAATCTCTGAAAATAATCAATTTCTGTGTAAAAGAGGTACCCCTGGCCTAGCGACTGCTCCCCAGGTCTCTTCCACCAGACTATAAGTTCCTCGAGTCTTATTCATGTGTATGTCCCAGAATTTAACATGGTGAGAAGCAGATGGTAATAAATCTTTGCTGACTTGAGCAGAATTAGTTCAATATTTGTAAGTACACTTTGTCTTTGCTACTAGATTACAAACTCCTTAAGAGTGAGGATCATGTCTTACGCTAGTACAGATTTATTAAATGAGTGATGGAAAAATACCAAACCAAGAATCAGGTGTCTTAGACCCAACTCAGTCACTTACCAGCTGTGCAGCCTCAGAAAAGTCACTTAACACTTCTGTGCCTCATTTTTCCCACTGCAAGGATAAGGAGTTTGGACCGCATGTCTGCCGAGGTCCCTTACTCCCTGAAACCAAGTGTGGGCCCTAGCTGCAACGTGGAACCTCACCTCAGCCACCATGCAGATGACAGCCACGCACCCCTGGCTCGGCAGGCCAGCTCACTATTTTGCCCCCTGATCCGTAGTTTTTCAGCACCAGGCTATGAATAACTTTGGGCCAGTGTTTAAAATACCCATTTTTGGTCAAATAGGTTCCACTGCTGCGTGAGGATGCCCCATCACCCACCCAGAAACACCGTGACAAATTGGGGGCACATTGTGCCCACAAGCCCTGCCACTCCCATGACGGACCCCTCCCAGAGACCTGCTTCCTGCTCATGCCAAACCGTGCACTGCTCACCAGAGATAACCCGGTGCAGAGGGAATGCTGAACTTAGCCCTTGATGGGGCGGTGATCGCATCACACCTTTCCCCAAAACATTGTTTGCTTTTGCTCTTGGTTTTTTGGCAATGCTGGGTGCAGCCTGAGGGTCCAGGGAGTTTGGCTCAAAGATAACACCATGTTATCACACAGAGGCTTGCTCCACTGCCCTGCCCAACACTGTATTAAAGCAAAAGTTGTGCAATAAACAAAGCCCAAATTCAAGGCTTTAGAAATGTTCTCAGCTCCTAGCAGAATCTGGCTGGCTCTCTGGGCTTCCTAGGGGTGCACTTCCCCAATTAACCTGCAAAGTTGATTATGTCCCCACCTCTCTTGGATGGACACAAGGTTAATTGTCCAATGCATCATGTATAATGGTCTTAAAATCTATATGAAAGTCCAAGTGAGAGAAAAAGCATCTTCTGAAAGAAGGAACAAAATTTGCTAATTTCCCCCTTTGAGGCTTTCCATAGGTTGTTTTATTCAATTCTCACAAGTCCATGAAGTTGGTACCATTTTACAGATGAGGAAGCAGAAGTTTCTGAAAGTTACACAGCTTGCCTAAAGTCACAAAGCTAGTAAGAGATTGGTCAGGACTTGGATGTAAGCCAAGACTCTTAGCCCTCCTGCAAGACTGCCTCATTGTGGGGTTTGTTAATCTCTGGAAGAAGCCAGAGATTAGAGATCAGAGTCCTTTCTCGTGGACATGCTTAAGCAGTGGCAGCAAGACCACATTTAGGATTCAGAGGGGAGGATGCCTGGATCAGGCAGAGGCTGGACCAGCTGACTCCGTGTTCCTGATTCTACAACTCTCTTTGGAACTGCCTTTCACAGAGCGATGATGCTGCATGGTGCGTTTTGTTTGATTCACTAGGCCCTTCCAGACGTGCAATTAAAAGCCACAGCACTCTCATTCTTAAACACTTCTCCAACTCAGGAGTGCTGATTTCACAGCATCTCATGCAGCCTGACGCCCAGCACCCGACTTCAGCCACAGGTACTGGCAAAGCAGCTAAAAGGCACTGCTCCCCTCGGGAAGTGCTCTAAAAGGCGTGGGTACAAATGAAAATAAAACATCTCTTCACAATCCTACTCAAAGATCTAAAAGGCAGAATTGAGACAGCATGCTCTGAATTCTCCTTAACTGCACCTCAAAAGCAGGTTGTGAATGTTTAGTGCATCCTTGGAACCAAAAGAAAACTACGAAAACTTCAAGTTTTTCATACTTTAGATGAAAATTCTTGCTGCTTTTGACAGCTTCTGAGTCACCACGTACTGTACAGGCAAGAACAACTTGTTGACCAATTTTGGGGGTGGTTGTTTTATTTTCTGTTCAGTCAGGCACAGGGAATTTTCCACCTGACAATTCCTGTTTCTCACTCAAGTTTTAACACCATCTGCGAGCACTGTGCTCAGCAGGAGGAGGACTCAAGACCAAAGAGGCCTTCCCTTCACCCAATCTCAGTTTTCCCATCTGCTTAATGCAAGGTTTTCACCAGATTTTGCTAACATCCTAAGCTTATCTATCAAGTCGATAGCAGTTTGGTGACTGCCTGTTTCTGGATGTGGATATGCTACCAGATTCAAACTCTTTGCATAATTTTTGAGTAAAACAAGGGATGTAGCTGAAATAAATAGCACAATGGGAAACTGCACTAGGTCTGGACAATAACACAGCCAGACTCAAATCTTGTGGCTGTTAAATGAGCCTCTTCCGTTCTCAGGGCGCCCCCTAGTGGCCATTCTACTAAATCCCGACGGAATGTTTCAGAGTTTCTGCAAATAAAGGGAAAGACACCCACAAAAAGAGAAAGGCAGGCTGCTGTCTATTGATGCAGTCCCCTTCACTCTATCCTAGTCGGTGGATCTGAGAGCTAGACAAATACCTGAAGCCCCAGTGATGCTCAGAAAGATGTCAGCCATGAGACAAGCTTTCATTCTTTCAGTTAGCGGCAGATCCCAGCCTTCAGGCATCTGTATCCCCTTACAGATTCCAGACACACCCTTACCACTCAACCCCTCACAAGCTCACATCCTCAACCTGCAGCTCAAACCGCGTCTGTTTTTCATTATTCCGCTTTCCAACTTCCCAGCGCGATTCTTCAACAGCTATTAAGACAACACGAGCAAGGAGCTAGGCTTAGATTTTGCTTATTCAACATCCAGCCTGGGGAATATCACCTCAGAAGAAAAGCATGAATGAAGCGCACGTTTCTCAGCCTCCTCTCCCACAAACCTGAAAGTGTGCTCCTCAAAGGACATCTCTACAACCATCTCCTCTTGAAGCACCTGCCCCAGAGTGCACTCTCAAATGCTTGCTATAGAATTTGTTGATAGGAGACAACTTAAAAATACAATGTATAATGTCTCAAATTTCCAATTAATCCGTAACAGATTTTTTTTAAGCTGTAGGATAAAGCTGTATCAACTCAAAGGGTGAAGCTTAGAGTAAGGGAGTAATCCAGGTATCCAAATACACAGATGCGAAAGAAGAATACCAACACCAACCTACCACTTCATTTTGTTTTTTCCCTGTGGTCATTTGTTAAGTTTATAAGCAACCTGAGCCCCAAAACATCCCCAAAAGTGCACATAATTAGTTCCTGACTTTGGCCCTGAGTCGATTAAAATCCAACTGACATGCTTCAAATCAAAGAAGCATGTTAATTTTCTGCCACACACCACACAAAATCTTTCTGCAACAGTCAGTCACTTTGAACCCAACCCTCTAGCCACAAGCAGTGTGGATTTCAAGATCCTGTTCTGCAGAAAGGAAAATGACAACAAACCAAGTTTGGGACAATACAGAGACCCCAAAGCACTCAAGGCACTACTTGGGGCTGTGTAAATGGTCTTAGGAACCTGGCAGGGTTTCTCTTCAGCTGTCACAAAGAGTGGGTCAGCTGAGCCAGACCCCTTAAGCAATGGAGTAGCCCTGCAGCCAGGGCCTGAACTGCAGTTGAGTCTGCAACTCAGTGTCTGTGAGGCTGTCCATGCCCTGGGCATTTCAGTCCTCCCAGAAGTCAACCCAAACTGTCACAACCCTCAGGCATGCAGTAGCCTTTATTTTTGCCCCCTAACCTCTCTTAAAAACAGGCAGGAACCGGCCTTCCCTTGCAGCATCAGGGTGATGGGAGGATGCGGGGTGGGGGGGTCTCATTCATCTACAGGACACCGGACTTGGGGGACCAGCTCCCAGCTGAGGATGTGGGTCTGTTTGGAGTTAGAGCAGTAAGGCATTCCAGGACATGAATGCGTGCCCGTGAGGGAGACCCCAACGGTCCTGCCGCTGCAAAGTGTTTGCAAATCATAAACACTACTTTGCTGCTGGGATCAAAACCCCCAAAATATGCGCAGACAGGATGTAACAAGTGTTTCGGGAGAAAGACACGCCTGAGCCACGGGGAGCTGGGGGGAGAATGAGGAATCTGTCCGGGGGTTCCCGGGAAGCCCTCTCCAACAAGAGATCCCTTCCGCGTCCCAGACCCCGTGCCCTCGGTCCCCGGCCGCGTCTAGCCTGCGCCACCCGGGTTTTTCCCCAACTCACCACTCGACCCGAAAACCTCTCGGTAGCCCTCTTGACTTTGCCGTAGGTGCCTTTGCCCAGGGTCTCCTGCAGCTCGTAGCGGTGCTTCAAGTTGTGCTTGTGGTGATGCCGCTTCACCCCGTGCGGCTTCCTGGGCTCTGG